CTCTCTCTCTCTCTCTCTCTCTCTCTCTCTCTCTCTCTCTCTCTCTCTCTCTCTCTCTCTGTGTGGGTGGTGCCAACCATGATGCGGTCAGAATGACTATAATGATGGGAAGTGTTTGCTGTGCTGGAGGTTGGGGTATACATCAATCAGTTCTTTGTTTTCCGGAGCTGGAGGGTTGAAGGTTTTGCCTTGGCACCACTTATCATCCCCACAAAACAAAACGATAACCTGTTGCACCATTCAATTCACTCGATGCACTTTGACATGATACAATCATAGGAGCAGAGTACGAGGGAGAGAGGAAGGAAGGGATGGGAAAGCAAAGTTACTGCAGTACCTCCAGTTCCAGATCCAGCTTCACTTGACCATACCACTTGCATGGACCTTTCGACACAGAAAGAGACCAGGCTAATGGATTGAACCCATTTCAATCTGCCCTTCTTCTCTTGGGGATCCTGGGGGGAATTGCCGGCTGGACCCGATGAATTGGCTCCCGAAGTCCCAACTGAACTCCCTGGTCGCCCGCTCCCCATGCTTGAATGAGTTGCTGTTGACATGGATGTGGTGCCGGAGTGACCTGGACGATCCACAGCACCCCAGCTTACACCAGACATACCCCGATTGCGAATAGTGCTAACAGATGCCGCGGCCACTGATGACACATACATTTGAGTACGGTTATGCCCCACACCCTGATCTAATGCTGAGGCAGGAACCTCCATTCCACTTCCTCTGCCTTTCTGGTGCCTCACCCGCACTGTGCCAGCCTGGTTCCCAGCGGTTGATGCTCCATCAACTAGACTGTCTTTTTGAGTAATCACTCGCTTAAGGGGCCATCCTTCATCATCCCCGAGTCCACAGATTGCCGACTCCCAACCTGTCAAACAACACAGCAGCAACAACAACAATCATAGTCAATTCTGTGCTGGCAGAGGTACTGCTGATGACAAGTGCTCCAGTGCAATTCCAATCCCTCCCCTCATCTTCAGACTCCTGTTTGACGTCCTGAGTGGACGGTGTCAGAAACACAGAGATGTGACGACCTGACCAAACACGGACTGAGACACAGCTGATTTCTGAGTTTTGCTCATGGACTGAATGCCTTGCTGACTTTCCCGCTTGCTGCTGAGTTCTCTAAGTCCGTGTGTGTGCACGCTTGCTGCTCTGCATGTGTGTCTGAGTGCTTGTTGGCTTGAGTGTGTGTGTGACCCGCAAGGGCACTTGTTCGTTCATTGGGACAGCAGGGCCGGTACTTACCTGTGGCCGGGACATTGAGGATTGCAGCGGGGAAAACACTCAAGTGGCGGGGAAAGAGGCCTGCAACACTTGGAGCAGCGGGGAAACACTCAAGTAGCAGGTAGGCCAGTACCACACCCTGTAGAGGTAGACGTGCCGAGTACTCGAGGCCGAGCGGAAGAAGACAAAAGTTGGCATTTTTAGAGGCCCAGTAGTTCTAGGCTAGGTCTAGGCGGGTGCCAGTCCAGAGTCTAGGGCCTGTACGGGCAATATCAGAGTCTGCAATGATGTTTCCCTCCGAATGGGAGGAGGTACCGGTTGCTTGAAGGGCCAAGCGGCCTGGAAGTCACCGCCCAAGAGGCAAGTAGGCCGCTATATCTCCAGGCCGGCCGAAGAGCCCAGCCACATGGTCGGTGTGCAAGTTTGGTGACACACTGGTTGGAGCGCTGGCTGGAGCAGCGCTAGCTGGGGAAGGAGCAAGGACACAGAGGAGGAAGAAGACCAGGGCTAGGGAGGGCGCCAGAGGTACTTACTTACCTGGCTATGGTGGATGCCATCTTCATCACCTTGGTGGGCGCTGCAGCAGGAAGGCCCCAGCCGGGGTAGAGCTACACCAAGAAGCTTCGAGGCAGAGTCAGGCATGGCGCCCTGAGCTAGAGCAGCCATAGCTGCTTTGTGTTGTCCTTCCGATATCCAGGCAAGGCCCGAGTAGTCCGCCATAGGCTCGGCCTTGGACAAACGAAGAGGAAGGGTGGCATTGGCTATGGTGGACCTCAAGTAATGCCTGCAGTAGAAGAGGGATTCGGACATTGATTCTGGTTCATCCATTCAACATTGTATTATTATTTCTCGTGTGAATAAGAGAGGAGGAGATAAGGAGGATGAGAGTGATTGGCGAAGAAGAAGAGCTTTCTCATTGGTCTATGCCGGTGTACATCATCTTCTTCTTCTTTCTTTCTTCTTCTTCTTCTTCTCCTAACCCCCTCTCTCCTCTCAAGTTCACTCGTTTCTTTCTTCAATTGGACAGCATTGTACTATCTGATGAATGTGTATTTCGAAATTGGCCAGGATCATAACATTGGTATCGCTGGTGCGAGTCGACTTTCCTGCCCTAACCATAACCTAAGTGATTGAGGGCAACACTAAGGGTTACGGTTGGATGTAGGGGAAGTGGGGCAGCGTGGCTAAGGGAAGCTGCCCCCACCTGGTTAGGTCGTGTGGGGTCGACACTGGACCTAACCAGGTTGCTTGAGAGTGAGATTGGGGTGGCAAGACATTTAGTGGAAACTTCATGCAACAACTTGAGGGAGGCGACAATGAGAGGCACTCACACCTGGAATCTGATTCAAGGGAGACACTTGGCAGCTTAAGGGCTTCCCTCAAGTAGGAACTTGAGGGACAGCGGCCATTCAGCATCTACGGACTGCAAGTTGCTACTTTGTTCTTCAGCATCGGCCGAGGACCCGGCGTTGCACTTTGGTGTTGGAGTCAGGCCCTCCTAGGAGACAGGACTCTAGTGTAGGGGTAGCGTTAAAGGGGCCAGGAGGATCATATGAGAGGGGAGTGAGTACCATTCATCTCGAAGCTCAGGCCACTCAGGTAAGTGTCGTGCACCTACGGAATGCCCATGTATGTGTGCATGGTATTGATTGTCCTGCTGGGGTTATTCTGGGTTTCTTTCCAACTCCTCTCTGATCTTGATTGTGTGATTGGATGTGTGAACTACTTACCTGATGGATGGAGAAATGAAGTATCTTGATTTGAATGCCGAGTCTTTCTACAGTGCTTTTTCTTTTCATCTTTGAATGGATGTAGTCTGTAGGTTCTGCCGGAAGTTGAAATTCGTTTTTCAGTACAGGAGGGGCAGAAACTTAGTCCATGCGGGACTCCTCTTGGTTGGGACACGGTCACGACCTACGTGAGACTTTTGAGGACCCAATGGGACCGGGCCCAAACAAGAAGGGCCCCTTGGACCCGAATCTGTTAGACATCGGTCCATTCTCTTTCTCACTGAGATCCGGAGTTTACTCTTTTTGGTTCGGACACCCACCGCCGAGGGGATCTCGGCTGAGACGTTTCACAGGCCTTGGTTGCACCGTCCGTGGCTTGACTCGCACCTTATACACCACTGAATTCTCCATTGTTGCATATAGTCACTCATTGTCTGATTTGCTGTACGGTCACGGAACTGGTCAGACTGGACTCGAGGGGACCTCGTATGCAGTCTGATCAGACTGAGTTGTTGGATCAGATCTCTCATGTGAATTTGTTTTTTTGTTTGTTTGCTGCTCTCTAGTCTAAATGTAATGCCGCTCCGGCTAGGAGTTCCACCTTCTCTTCTTTGAGCTTTTTCAGTTTGTTTCTTTCCTCAGCTCATATTTTGACGCCCGTAGAGACTCGTAGACAAAAGGAAGAGAGAATGAGAACACCCGTCTTGCAAAGATGGGCGATGGAAAGGCTTTTGTGGCCTTAAAAGCCCAATTGGATGCTGTCGTAGAGGAGGATAAACCATTGTTCCAAACTCTCTATGATAAGGCACTGGCAAGGAAAGAGACGGCCGAGGAGGAAAAGCGGAAAACCGTTGTTGCACACCGTGAGGTGGTCTTCGAAATAGCCCCCTCCTTGCCTGACACTGAGATCAAGAAGGAGCTACTCGCATATGTACGTGTTCTCATAGACTGTCACCTACTCAGTGACATCCCTGTTCAGATCACAAAACTTTCTGCTGAGATAAGTGAACTCCGGGCAGAAATGGCAAAAATGGCCAAGGAGCACAGTGATCAGATGCGGCAGATGGCAAATCTGCATAAGGACCAGATTCCTAATCCTCTTCCTCTACCTTTGCCTCCAGTGCTCCTAACCAATCAGTCCTCGCTCCTCTCCATACCTCTACTCCTTCTCAGAGTGTGGTTCAATCGGGACCTGCAGTAGGTGCAGACCCCGCTGCCACTTCAGCAGGGAATTCTACAACTGCTGCAGCCTCGAGTTCAAAGACAACAATTGCTGGTACCGGCTACAACAGTCCCTATGTGGACAGGAAGGCGGTTCCGATACCGACCAAGTACGACGGCAAGGAAGACTTTGAGTTCTGGATCAGCTCCATGAGAGTGTACTTCGAGGTGTTGGGGACTCAACCATTCAGCCAGTCCTTGATCATGGGAACCAACGACGAACCCACCGTAAGAGGCTTCCTAGAAGTCCAAGGTATGCAGGCCGAGTACACCAAGATCAATCCAACACAGTGGCTCCAAGCCACACTGGTAGCCACACTTGAGGATCTCAAGCGCAGCAAATGGACGGGCACCATGCATAATCTGCAGTTGTTTGTCAGCAACCCTTTTGCGATACCCGGATTGGAAATGATTGCACAATCGACTTGGATGTTGTGAAAGGTACGGTTCCCACTAACTATAAACATCGCCTACGCAAAAAGCTCATTGGTTACAGTGACTAGGTTTCCCTCATCGGTCAGCTTTGAGGCACAAGCCCTCATTACCACAACACGCAGCAAAAAGCCTATTGGCGACAGGCGATTCAGGGGCAGCAACCGTTTTGTTGTGCATGACCTGTTGGAGGCCGATGAGGAGGCCTATGTGGACAACCCCACTCTTGGTGATGACCAAGAATAGGACCCTGGCAAGGCCTGATCCACTTCAGCCCATGACTCTGACGTAAATAATGAAGAATAAAAATTAAATGTCTTTAGAAAGTCTGCCAATGTGACGGGACCAAACCGGAATTCAGGGAAGAAGTATGTACAACTTCCCAAGGGAGTCAAAATCCCAGCGAAACTGGAGGATGCGGCCACTAAACCTTGGGTTGACCTCTGGATCACTCAAAATGATTGGAGGATTAGGCTCAAGAAAGGGTTATGCCTGCATTGCCAGAAACCAAACCATAAAGTACAAGATTGTTATAGGCTGCAAGGAAACCAAAATCGGGCGTAGAGTTGGCATCAGCATCCTCTACGGCAAGGGAGACTGAACTTGATGTATATCAGCAGTCCTCCCTTGAACACACGCGGTTATCGGGTAGCTGAAAATTCAAGAATGAAAATTCTCAAGTGAGAGTTTTGGGCAGTATGAAAATCCTGAACGGTCCTGAAGTGGTGAAAGGTCCGAAGACCCTGAAAACCACCTGTTTAGGCAGGCTGTATCTTGAAGTGGTGAAGGGTGTCCTGAAGTGGTCAAGTGAGAGTTTTGGGCAGTCTGAAAATCCTGAATGGTCCTGAAGTGGTGAAAGGTCTGAAGACCATGAATACCACCCTTCACCACTTGAGGATGCAGCCTGCCTAAACAGGTGGTTTTCAGGGTCTTCGGAGCTTTCACCACTTCAGGACCATTCAGGATTTTTGGTGAAAGGTCCGAAGACGCTGAAAACCACCTGTTTAGGCAGGCTGAAGTGGCGAAGGGTGTCCTGAAGTGGTGATGAAAAATACGACTGTTGTTAACCTTCTCACCCTTTGAAGCCCCATCGCCTACTGATTCCAATGCTGAAGTTTGTCATGCTTTGTATGTTGAGCCTTGGGATGGGTCTGAGACGGTTGATTTTCATTATCGCTTCATGTCACCACATAGGAGGAGCATGGGGCTGAGATGAAACATCAGCGTGCTCAAGGGACAGTGAAGTTAATCTTCTTCA